AAACTAAGTCCAAGACGTAACATTCGTATTGTGATTATTCATTTGTCCATCCATGTTATACGTACTTTGCCAGAATAAGTTTATGTTCTTCGCAGTGATCACATAAATCTTCCTACACAGAATTTTCTATTTTCTATTTTCTAACTAGTACTGCTCATATGCATTGATTCATTCCTGCACGTGGAAAGACTCATCACTATTTATACCTCACATGTTAATTAACACACACCTTATATATCCCACCATATTTACCTATGTATCTGTGTACGTACATATACATGTGTGTGTAAACGTACTTACATGTGTCTATATGTATAAATAATAAAAATAATAATAATATTGTCAATATTGTTGTCAGTGGATCGCTAGGGTTAGAACTTAGATAGATGACTATATACATATAATATACATGTCATTTCAATGCATTGTGTGTATCGACAAGTTGCATTGTTTTTCGCGTGAAATTTCATATTTAAATGAAAATCACGATGTTAAAACATAATATTGATTTAAAATCCCACATTTCAATTCACTTCCGTTGAGATTCACGCATTTGCGTGTACGTCATCGTTTTGAAGGTTGAACATCCAAATCAAGATGGAGTGTTCATCCTACTTTCTTGTGTTTTGAATTTTATTTACCAGTACCAGGTCCACTGGTCTGGCCCAGCTTCTTAATTTGTCTTGTTCAAGCCTTGCCTCAATTGATTGGGATGGTCCAGCATGGCTGCCCTGCCTCCTCCTCGTGAGAAATGCTTACTTATATGCCAACAAATTCATCAGATAAACCCAATCTTTATTGGCATGTTTATAACCAGGAATGAGAGTCGCTCCCATTGAAGGATATTTCAGCATTTAATAATGTGATTGCTGATAAGACTCACCCCGACACTAATTAGAAATTAGTCAACATGTTTAATAATGTAAACAAAAAACCAACGAGATATAGTTCGATGAAAAGGATCTTGATATGCAGACTCATAGTCTTATATTCAAACTCTGATAACACTATAGTAGTGTGTGTATGACAAACCCCCCTTCCCATCGCACTTTAAAATCTCTCACAAATTTATTAGACAAGATTAAAATGTAACCATCACTATCTCTATGGTCGGGCTTAAATGTATCGTGTATGAGCCCATATCCAACTTCTGGATCAATGGTTTAAGCTGGACCGGTTACATTTGGGCTGGTTTTAAGCTGGACTGGTTATATTGGGCCGATTACATTTTAGTGTTCAGCCCAGGGTAAAATAAGTTGGAAATATCAGGAATTTAGAAAAAGAAAAAGAAAAACGATGGAGAGGGATTATAATATAAAACAAAGCAGAGCTGTCTTGCCAGAAAAGAAAGCGGAGCTGCCCAGCCCAAACACTGAAAGAGAAGAGAGAAAGAGCGAAGAGCGAAGAGAATGTCAGGCATGGAGAGGCTTCAGAGGATGTTCGCCGGTGCCGGAGGAGGTTTGGGCCACCCACCTCCCGACTCGCCGACTCTCGATTCTTCCGAGCAGGTTTACATCTCCTCCCTCGCCCTCCTCAAGATGCTGAAGCACGGTGAGCTCTCTCCTTCCTCTTCTTCTTTCTTTTACTTCGCATCTTGTCCAGTCTGATCGAATTTGAGTTCCTAACTTGGGGTTTTAGGGTTTTGTTGCATTCTTAGCTATGGATTTGACGTATGGACTTCAAAACCCTAAGTAGGCGACGATGTTTGTGAATCTTGTCGAAATTGTGCATTATGGATCCTAATTAGGGTTTTTGAAGCTTAATTGGAGCTTTTTGTAATGTGATTTATTTATTTAATGCTTACTTGTGGTTTGGGATTTGGTAATTATTAGGAAGGGCGGGAGTTCCAATGGAGGTTATGGGATTGATGCTCGGAGAGTTTGTGGATGAGTACACTGTACGTGTGGTCGATGTGTTTGCTATGCCGCAGAGTGGTACTGGTGTTAGTGTCGAAGCTGTTGATCATGTCTTTCAGACTAACATGCTTGATATGCTTAAGCAGACTGGACGGTATGCCTTTTTCTCACTTTGATTTATGAAATGTAGAGTAGTTGTTAAAAATGCATTATACAGGTTGTCTTAATTCAATAAACATGGCATTGCTACTTCTGGATTGCAGATAGATTACATTCAATTTATTGTTTTAGGGAAATGACTGAATAAATAAGAACATTATGATTCGATTGGAGACTTTTCTGTAAGGAGCTCGTGCAAAGATTTATCTTTGTGTTTCTTGTTTTTAAATTGTGTATCCCTTTGTGGGAGTTATAATCAGTATTTATATTTTTGTATTTGCATTAATAATTATGAGTGCAAACTGAAGTTTGTGTGAGGTGATAAGTTAGAATAGCTTATTAACACCTTCATTGTTAATACTTTTACGTTTGTGTCACAGTTCACTCTCTGTGTTCTCAAATTATGTGGTTATAAATGACCATCATTGCTGATGCCTTACTGTAACTTATGTTTTTCTGATTGCTAATGCAGACCAGAGATGGTTGTGGGGTGGTACCATTCACATCCTGGATTTGGCTGCTGGCTATCTGGTGTCGACATTAATACACAGCAGGTTGTGGTTTGATTTATATTTCCTATTTCATTGTACACAAGTTTATTTTTTCTCCTTGATGTCATGTATATTTATGTATGTTGGTGCATGCGTACTGATGTCTTTGTTATGAAGAAGAAATTGGTGGTTGTAGGCTCTTTTTTCTTGACTACGGTTCCACATTGTCTGTTCACTTCTGTCTGTTTTATCATCATAGTCTTCTTCTCTGGCACCCTAATATTAGATTAACTATTACACCCAAAATTCTTTAGGTCAAAATCTAAATCTTACTTTTGCAGTCTATGATGTGTCAAAAATCTTAATAGTTAATCAAGATCATGTTTATGTTTGTGTACAGCATTCTTGTTTATCCTACTTTCATTAACTAAGATTGAGTCTTCTGCAGCGTAGAATAGTTTGACTGTTCTCAATGGATGTTGTACTGTTATTGGTGATACCCTTGAGTAGAAACTTTATTGTTGCTTAGCATGGTCGGAAAGAGGGGGGCCAGGGGTTCTGGCAATTAATGTTCATTCTGTTCTTTACCCAAATGCAATTTTGTCTTGTACCTTTAATCTTTTGTAGAGCTTTGAAGCATTGAATCAACGTGCTGTGGCTGTGGTGGTGGATCCAATTCAGAGTGTGAAGGGAAAGGTGGTCATTGATGCCTTCCGTCTTATCAACCCACAAACTATGATGCTTGGCCAAGAACCACGCCAGACTACATCTAATCTTGGACATCTTAATAAGCCGTCCATTCAAGTGAGTCCTGAACAAGTAATTTTAACTCCATTCTTTGCAATCACAACTTTTTGACCTCTTGTGCAATTTCCTCTGCAGGCATTGATCCATGGGTTAAACCGGCATTATTACTCCATAGCAATTAATTACAGGAAGAATGAACTTGAGGAGAAAATGTTGCTTAACCTTCACAAGAAGAAATGGACTGATGGGTTGACACTTAGGCGCTTTGATAATCATTCAAAGACAAATGAGCAAACTGTTGAGGTAAGTGAAGGTTTCATGAACTTCAATTTATAGTGGTTTGAACTAGTGACTTCTTATTTTAATTTGATGTCTATAGCTGAAGTATATACCTTTTTTTTTATGGTGACTGAAGTATATACTTTAGCGCCCAAAAACTCTACGATTATAGTTTAAGAAAAAACCATTAAGTTTCCATCTCAGTGCAGTTTTCCTGGTTAGAAGTCCATGTTCTCACAAAATAATAACTAAAACCATCTGCCTGAATTAATTTTCAAAAGGGCTAAAGGTTTTGCCCCGTTGGACTATGGGTTTTATCCTCTCCCTCAAGAGTGACTGTTGAAATGTTTTGCTCAGCAAGTTTAAAACGTGAGCTGGTTTTGATTTATTATAGGTCGACTAAATTTACTGCCTGAAGTCGTGATTAAATTCCTTTGCATCTGGCTTTTGCAGGAGATGAAGAACTTGGCTGTCAAATACAACAAAGCAGTCCAGGAGGAGGACGAGTTACCTCCAGAGAAGCTCGCGATTGCAAATGTTGGAAGGCAGGATGCCAAGAAGCACCTTGAAGAACATGTCTCCAACCTGATGTCCTCAAACATAGTCCAGACCTTGGGAACAATGCTTGATACGGTTGTGTTCTAGAGAGTTCGAAGTCCAAGTCTGGAAACTGAGGTTGCATTGCTGTGTGAGTGGGGCCACTGATAATCTTTATTGCTTTGAAACAGTGTTGGTATGCAAAACTAGTTTTAGCTGAACTAAAATATCTCCTTGAAAGTTCAACCATGTGGACTTAAATTTTTACCTATGGATTGTGTTTTACAGTAAATGAATTTTCAACTACCACAAGATTGTATTCCATCACCATCACCATCACCATCCCCCGCAACCTACTTTCCTGTGATTTCTTGATCAAGTACTTGGTGCTGGTCCATACGACTTTCACATCATCTCTACGACATTGCGGAACACATCACACACTCATGCAAAAGCGATATATTTTAAAACTATTAAACATCACACACCACATCTCATTGTCGGAAATGAGTTGTCCTTATAGAGAGAGCTAAAGTTTGATCTATTTGGCGGAAAGCTAAAGTTCGATTTGGACCTAGTAAGGATTCCTCTGTGATACTAATATTGGGTTAATGAACCCACTTATATTTGTGGTTATAAAAAGGTAGCCGGTCTGATTTGGTTCGGTTCAAGCCTGCGGAGTATGATTTGGTTCGGTTCAAGCCCGCGGAGTATACAATCTCGGCACTTTAGTATAATCCTACTGAAAATAGCTTTGGCTTATTCAAACAGCTTACATATGTAACCGAAAAAGTAAAGAGAAGAAATAAGTACAAAACAGCAATGACATTGAAAATGCCTGATACAAAGATTGACAAAGGAATCCCACCACTTTGTGAATTTCCCCACAGATAGTATTGTCCAGAAAGCACCCTTTTTCATGGAATTTGCACTAATCTTGGTTTATGAAAGAAGCCATATGCCTAATCAAGCTCTTAGCTTTTTCACAATTGGGATTAAAGATGTGAAACACATGGTCCTCGCCTTCTGTTTCAGTCAACTCCTTCCTCCCTCTCCAACTGCTCTTCACCAGTTCATCATAATAAAGCCTCCCTCTGTCCCTCAATATGTCTTTTCCCGCAACAAGAACAAGCACTTTCCCACAAGCCAACCCCTCAACACTCGGAGCTCCATCCCCAAACGGGTTAATCAGCGGGTCATCCCCCGCTTTCTCTGACGGGCAAACGAACTGCCACCACTTGTCCACCATTGACTTCCTCACCAAATCTGTCACCTCTCCACCAATTGGCTCCTTCCCCCAAAAATAAGGATGGACCAAACCAATCCCGGCAATCTTCACCTTCGGATCCGGGTCGGATGCCTTGATCCGTAAGGCCAAATGGTGTGCAATATTAGCCCCTGCACTGTCTCCAACCAAGAACACCCGCCCAAAATCAACATGCTCCTGAACCCACAAATCACCATCTTCTCCACCACCAAACACCCAATTGAGTGCAGCCCAAGAGTCTTCATATGCAGTAGGGAGGGGGTGCTCAGGGGCCAACCTGTAATTTACCGAAACAGCGATGGCTTTTGCTTCAGCAACAAGCATGTTGAGGCTGTTATGGTAAAGCGGGTCGGCGGCTGAAGATATGAAAAAGGCCCCG